CTAAGTCATCATAAACTAGCAAACGAGATCAACGTCATTGTCAGATCCGGTGACGTAAAATTCTCAATAATCTCCAGTTATTTAATAGTTTAGTTTATAATTTGGAGATATCGAAGTAAATAATAATTCTTGTAGCACACATGTGTAAAGTGATCGAGAATTCGGTGTATTATCATGAAGGAACAAAATGATGTTCGATGTTTAAAGAGTGCGACTTGTTGAGAAACGACGAAGATGGGAAAAATAGCTATGATTCGAGAAAATTTCCTACTAACATTTCTCATTGCGTAATGTACAATCTACAAATGACATAAAATAGTGAGCATACTTTTAGAATTCACTAAAAAACGAAAATCAAAACCATCCATCGATCAACTGTCAATAATAAAACGTTTAATTTGATTACCAGATGCAAGATGGTGAAGAATTAAGTTTATTAATGCTTGATCGATTCCTTGGAATCATAGCGAAGTAAGAGTTCATCCTGTTGCTGGTGAAAATCGTTTATCGCATAGTAGTAATATTGCTATAAAACAACAGGTGATGAATTTGACAAGGATCAATGAAAGATGCAACTGTATTCCGGACTATGATGTTTTGTTTGAACTCACCAAACAGCATACCAAGATAATATGAATGAAGAAATGCATCAATCAATACAACAATTGAGCCCATAAAAAGCAGAGTAGATCATACAGATATCAAGATGTTCCACCAAAATAAGAAGTAACACTTTGTTGCTTAATGATTCGAGTCAACATGTATTTATCAACATTTTCCAATGCAGATAAATTACACTTGTATTAATGGAAGTCATTTTTATCTGAGCTCAATAGAGAATGGTTATCGAAAAGATATATAGACTCAATCGAGAAAATAATAATGAATGAGAAATCTCAGCACAATGGATACTGATGTGTGAAATTGAATCTAGTAAATGAAAATAATAAAATGCGTGTTTGATGTCGTATATCACACGGTATCTTGATCAGAATCTCACATGAACTATAATTTTTCTAAAGGGTTATAATATCTCAGATGGTATCTTCAATATCTATTATTTCTTATGCGTTAGATATTTAGAAATACAATATAATTATCTTAGTTATCATTGCAGAAATGAGATGTATATGTATATCATAAAATAGAAGAAATTTTTAAAAATGAATTAAATAGAAATAAAGCTTTTCAATCAACCATTTATCTGATTTTTTTTTTTTTTTTTTTTTTTTTTTGATGAACAATAAAATACATATTTATAAACTAGTGTGATCCTCTGCATACAGCATGACTATAACCTTATGGTCTCATACCTTTTTTTCGCTTATGGCCTTCTAACCCGTATAGTTTTATAGCTTTGTTCGACCTTTAACCTCTGATTTGTGATCCGGTACAGACACTGAACATTATACATATCATATTTGATGATCTCGAATTTATTAGTAATAATACATTTCCAACTATTATTTCCAATTGTGTTAAAAGATTGGTGATGTACGATAATGTTTCATGGAAACATGAATTTTTCATTTGAATTGATTGGTCTTTTCCTTTACTTAAACAACTGTATGTTATTAATCATAACATTACAATCATCAATATCAGAGAAATTGAACTCTATTAATAATAAACAATTGTATTTAATTGTTAATTATCCTTATTTTATTTCGCTTCGTATTAAGATTGTTCATATGGATTATGTTGAATATATCTTGTAACTTTTCTAGAATTACCGATACCTGTAGCTTCTCAAGGACTACCTGGAGATTGTATCTGTGACTTTTCAAGAGCAGCCACCTGAGTATATCACGCATGTGAATGTTGATAGATGAATGTGGTCTGTGAATTTAAGCATATGTGAGTGTAGGTCTAGGTCTGAATCTGAATAGGATCGACTGTCAGTGTTGGTGATGATAAGATACACGTCAACAAATCTCATATAAGTCAGACTTCAAATTTGAATTCAACTTTCAAGTTTGATACTATTGGTTTCTTTCAGAAAACTCATATAGAATTTATTATTTTAACGTATTAAAATATAATAAACGTGTATCAATAATATAAGTATTTTATCAATAAGAATTTTATTCGACTAATAGCAGCATTTATTACTTTGTTGTTTATACAAAAAAAACCTGATATGATATTGAAAAAGAAAAAGTTTATCGTATTAATCAACTTATTATAGTACAATAATTGTCAATGTTACATTAAATTATATATTATACATGTTTACATATGAAAAAATAATGATAGTTTCTAGTTAATTAATGTCACTTTCATGAAACACAATTAATCTTGATGTTTTTCTTTCTTGTTATGAATATTATTAACAATATGATCATTCTTTTTTTTTAATAACCAATTGTTAAATTTTAACCATTGATTCTTCACATATTCATCGAAATTTGGCAATAAATATTGACCAATAATCATAACAAAACCGAATAAAATTAAAATACATTCCAACCATTGAAGAGTCCATTCATTATTTATGAAGTTGATATAAAATATGAATGTCGACATTATTCCGGTTACTATAATTGCCAATCGATATACATTATATAAGCCATAGAGCAAATAGATATCATATAATATTGATAAAATCACCACTATTTTTCCTAATTTTACTGAAAAACTATAATGATCACATAATGCAACTTTTGGAAAAGTTGAAAATTCTGGATATTCATTGATAAGTTGAGAACAATTTGATCTGATATATTCGAATATTTTCGATTTATTTTGTTTAATTGGATCTAAATGCAACATGGCCCAATCCAGCTGTTGTGAATGTCCATAAAATATTCCTATTGAAAACAAAGCCAATATTGCTATCAATATATTGACCAAAATTAGGATTAGATATGAATCAGTAGACAATCGTTCAGACATGAATCTACAATTGAAAGAAAAATATCTAATAAAGAAAAATCATGTTATATATTAACTTTATACTTTAAGTTAAATAACGACGTACTTTTTGAATCAAGTGAAGCAAAGCGAATGAAGGGCTTATTGTATAAAACAACAAATTTATATTCAAGAAGACAAAGGAAACAAAAACAACAATGATCGTCTTTCTTATAAGATGACTATAGAAAAACAAAGAAAAGAAAAAAATGTCCTTAAGTTAAAATGAAAAGAAGATGAATCAATGTATTGACGCAAGACGAAATAGACGAACAGATAGAAGAGAAGAAGAAGAAAAGATGACGTCACACATCTATGTATGTATATTGATTTTTTGTTATGGTAGATCTGAAAATTTGGATAACTCATTTTTGCATATCCCACAGAATCCCAGATTAAATATAGAAACATCATTTACACTATGTGATGAAGCTGTAATAAATAATTTATTATTATCTGAATATGCTTGATTCATTAGTTTTTGAAGAAGTTGTATTAGTTGTTCATGCTATAGTTCTTTTTTTCTTGATCATCATTAAATAAAGTATTCATTTCTTCTGATATTTTTTCGAATACTACTATTCAAATAAATTTTGAAATTAGCTCCCATCAGTCATCATAAACTTATAACACTAATATCTTACCGTCTTTTTTGTTCATATTAAAGTTTTTATTTTCAAGAATTTACTATATTAAACAGGTATACATAAAGTAAATGATCTCTGCTATACAGACATATCAAATAAAATTGATGCTGTGTAAGTTTGCTGTACAACTTAAAATAAAAAGCTATCCGAGACTGTTGATATCTACTTTACATTAATACATCATAATGTATAGTTTTTACGTATAAAAACATCATTTCTTTCTTTTCCTACCAACCTAGATAGATGATGGTACTAAGCATTACACGCTAAAATGGGGAAAGCTAATCAAGAGCAATGTTAATATTTTAGTATTGGATATAAGTATCTTACAGTTTATTATGATAATCGTCTTGAAAACACATTTGTTGCATTAAAAAAAGTAGAAACTAAAGGGTGGGTGTGGGCTAAAACAAGACTAATACCTACACCCATCGGTACCAGCACCCACACGCATATTGTAGCCTCTATGTATTTGTCGAGCTAATGATCTTAAGACAATGTTTTATAATGAATACATTTGTATACACTCAAAGAAACCTCAAGCATACATGAATTTTCATTAGAATGTGCTGAAAAAACAAGACTTCCATAACCAATCTACTTCTAATGCTTCATATGAATATAGTTGTATACGAACTTCATTGTTTCTCATGTTAAATCATTCGACTTACTTTCTTCATCAAATGCTACTCAAAATATTTAGTCAGAGTTGTAACAATGCAGCAGGCAAAGCATGAAATATGAATGGATTAAAGAATAAAGCAAAAGTTTTGTGATATTTACCAAAATACTGCTTTTTTATTCTTACTCTTATGAAATCTTCATAGTTCCTGCCCTAGTTATAGCAAAAAAAGACATTAAAATTAAAAAATACTAGAGCAATTATATTTATTAGAACTAGATTACAATGTTAATTAGATATCTGCAGTAGATTTATATATGTATTTTCAACTGTGATCGATTGATTTTTCAGCAGCTTTTTCTTATCAAACTTTGGATTATCAATAATTGAATTCAACATTTTTAGTCGATAAGTACAACTGATCGAAATAGTTTTATGTGACAAGATATTTATCTGCATGTCTCAGTCGAATACATTTTATATCTATACTCAGATATGGAAACATTTGATAAATGTTATATCTAGGTAATTTTTTTCGATAATTATTTTTATTCTAGAATATTATCTGAAACCATTGTATCTCCTTGATCTATGATGTTTGTTGACTGTTGATGTTATTTAATTGCAGTATTTTAAACAAATAATAAAACAACACATGTTTATTTTGGTTTCAACAACTTGTTTGTTAACAAAAAACTCTGTATCATTCCTTTTCTTTTGTCTCTCATCATCTTTCTACCGACAAATAACTCTTTGACACTTGAATATCTTTCTATTTTCTCTTTTAAAATTATCAACGAGATCTGACAAAGTTGTCTCTAAACAGGAATAGTTCTTTTCAATAAAAGTTTTTCAATTTGATCATTTTTTCCAACAGGACATTCATCTATTTTACTTCGATGAAAATGAAATGCAGGATTAACCCATTTGGCACATGTACATTTTTCACCGACAAGTGAATATCGACCAAGTTTAGCTTGACATTTTGTATTTGGACATACAATGTCACCATCATTTGTTTCTTTATCATATATATCTATTAACCATTCAGGTTGTATGGTAAATAATTCTTGTTGACAATAGTGTTTATCATTTGATTCAGCATTTTGTTTTGCTTTATATGCTGAACTACGTGATTGAATATCAAATCGACCTTTACCAATAATATGTGCCACAAGATCGTTATCAGTAAATAAAACATGACGACATAATTTACATTTATATTCAATTGAATATGCATTAGTTTTAGTCATTGGAATAATATCATCGAAATTATTTTCTACTGAAACATGATCCAGTGAGGTTATAGGTTTACGTTGTGATTGTTCAGGATTATAAGAATAATTCATAGAATGATAAAGACGTAATTGTTTTGCAAATCCAGGATTTGGATAAACACATGGACGTTTAGTTCTCAATTGTTCAAGTGCCATATCATAAGACAAATTATATTTTTTCATTAAATAAGCACAAGCAATCGTTGCACTACGAGACATACCTATAAAATATATATTAATAAATAAAAATTTCATTTTTTTTCGCTAATAATCCTACCTGCATGACAATGAATAAGAACATTTTGATTGTTACGTACAGCTTCATCAATAAATTGATAGCATGATTCAAATTCACCAATTAAATCAACTGTATGCATATCATAAGCACGTACATGTTTACGAATACGACGATCTTCGTTTAAACATGTAGGATCAAAGTCAAGAACAGTTAATATATGTGTAATATTAAGAGCATCAAGTGCTTCATGATTTTGTGATGAATCAATATCACCAAGCCATATATGATCATCAATTTTATTAGCAGTAAAACATTTTTGATAACTAACCGTTGGTGAACTAAATTCCAAAAAAAAAACATAAAAATTTATGAAATTTAATCAGAAAATCATACCTATCCATAGATGCAACTTAAAATGTAAACTAAAATTAGATCGTTTTGAGAATAAATAATTCTTTCGTAAGTTTTTCTGATGAGTCATAAAGAACAAATCAAATATTCTTTATCAAAGATGTCACTCAAAATCGATTATATATAAAAACTCGGTAAAATTAAATGAAGATAAACAATATAGAGAATGGTCTCTTATTAATACAAAACTGCTAAACAAGCTTAGTTTCTTACATAGATGGAGAACACTCCTCCTCAATATTGAACATTGTTCAAATATCCCAACAGTGTTCATTTACTGAAGGTTTTACTCTATGTTCCATTGACTAACAATAAAATTCTATTACTAAGAATATTTTTGTATGCGATAGTAATACTATTAACTTTGTTGATCATGTATACAATACATTAATTTTATTGCTTTCTTTACAATTGAATAAATAATAAATAAAACAGTTGATTAAGTATGAGACAGAAATGAAGCGAGATACTACGTGCTAAAATATAGAATGAAAAAATAGAGTAAACATTTATAGGAAGGAAGTTCTTTCCTTCACTCTTATAATATTTCATTGTATTTACTTTCCCGCTGAGTTTTTTCTTCGTCTTAATGTTAGTAAGATATTTAAAAGATTATGCCTTATGAATTTGTTCCATCCGGTAATAGATATTGATGTTTGAGTTTATCAAAGCATTGGTGAGTCGCATTATTTTTATTTTTGTATAATTTATTATTTTTTAAGTTTGAAACAGAATTGAATCTATTTCAATGTAAGATCCTATTTTCGTCAGACATGATTGTATTGAGTGTAAATAGAATTTAGATTTTTTCAGCATATTCATTATACTATAACAATTTTCGCATGAAAATGAATTAAATGCTTATTTAAAATGTACGAATAGAATAATAATAGATGAGTTCTTCTTGTCATGTAGCATGAGATTAATTTAAGAAGAAGAATACTTGTTCGGAACCGATTTTATCGTCGTAAACCAGATTAAGAAAATCGATTTTACTTAAAATGCAACATAATATTTCATCTAATAATGATTCTATCAATATTTTTTCGACCATGATTTATTTGTTCATGTTATTAACGTTAACATTCTTGTTGAAAGAAACTAAGATAAAACTATGATATGTTAATTGTGAATTAATACGATTACGATTTATTGGTGCTTGTTTTTCATAGGAAGTGTCGTTGTATACGAAGCATCAGTTCGTACGTTCTCATGAAAATTTTCCATCCTAGTTAATCAAATCCTGAATAATCATATATGTGTAGTGAGGAAAAAGAAAACTAATATTTTCAAAAAACAAATTTTGTTTGTGTAAATACCAGTTTAAAATGTCAATATCACTGTATTTTTTTGTTTTGGATCATAGCAAGGAACAGAACAGAAACTTCATCGATAAATCTCGTTCAAAAGTTTTACCAAACTATCAATCTCGGAAAAATACATCAAAATCAAAAAACTGTGCAATCACGTAATTCTGTCACACAAGAGTTTCTTCTAGTTTTGGTTTTCATGATTATTCTTGCAAATATTTCTTCGAAGATTCTGAAAACCTTTATTACACAAAAAAGGCTTGAATCGTTTTTCCATTCATTTTTAACCGTCGCAGTTGGACGATTGAAGTAGCAAAAACAAAGAAAAAGAAACTGATATGGTCGCATTTAATCTAGAGCATTGGTTTTTAATAATTAAATTATGTAGATATCTTGGACTTGTACAAAACAATATTAATGAACAGACATGTTCTTGCATAATAATGACAATATGTAACTAGGCAAAAGAAATATTGAATAACTCATACTATATTTAGCAATTCGCGTGATTTCTCCCATGAAGACTCTTGACTAGATACATTCTTAACTAATCAAAGTTCTATATCTATTGATCACGTCAATAAATAGTGGGTGATATTTCCTGTCAAATAGTCAATAGGTAACGAGCAATGAATTCTTCTGTGTTGGCTTTTATCATTAATAGATGATTATTAGAAACTAAAGTGTGATAGAGATGGATTTTGATTAACAGGAGACAGATAGGAAAGCATAATGCGACTCGTACGCATTGATAATTTTAGAAATAATGAGTGATACGTGAATGATAGTATGATGAGAAAGACAGTTATTTTTAGTTAATTTTGATTATATCAGAAAAGAAAAATCAGGTTACGAAACCTTGTCTGAATGACATAGAGACTAATGTCCATTTCTTTTTTTTTGTAGATTTGAAAAGATATTAAAATTAATGTTTCATTCATGGATTGACCAATAATATATTATTTATCATATTTTGATAGTTTTAAAAAACGTTTATGGTAATTTAATTTGAATAGCTAAATTAAATAGTATTTTCTTTATGCAAAAATATGTCATTTTTGAATACCTCGTAAACACTAATAATTAATCATATCTTATTTTTTTCTCTTCTATAAGAAGAACAATTAAATATTATTCTAGTACCTAAATGAAAACTTGATCTATGAACTGTTGTCTATGTACTTTAATGCATGAATAAATAAGCAGATTAAATTACATAATTATCTTTTTGTTTTTCTTTTTATTTACAGTATATCAAAGGTAAAAAATAACCAATAAATGTTGTCAATACTAATATAAAAATGAAATTTTATTTGACATAGAACAATGTAATCTTAAATAGATCGAAACATTTTGACAAAATAAAATATTTTTGATGTCAAATATAGAGTTCGAAAGTCTTTCATTTTTTGTCTCCTGAAATTTTGATGGAGTGAATAAGTTCAAAAAGAAAATCTTCAGATGAAGTCTGGTTAACATCCAAAGTAAATATTTATCAAATTGGCTTATTTCTTATTTTTTTTCTATTGAATTGCTGTTTTGTTGTCAAAATAAAAGTATTACACTCAATAATTTTAGATTTAGTTTTTCGAAATATTCATGTTTTATTCACTATGTTTCTTTCAAAACCATAAAACACATAACGAATATTTCTTATCATGTTTTCTTCTTTTTTTTCTTCTACTTTCATATTTGCATAAAAGTATAAAGTACTCAACATGATCCACTTCCGAAAAAAGTTTAAGTAGGATATAACTACACAAATTTACTTTATTCATTCTTACTTTTATATTTATTTATATTATTACTAATATAAATTAAAGTATATCTAATAGAAAAAGAAACATAATAGAATAGGTTTTATTGATATAGAAAATAATGACTTTTTTTTGTATTCTTCAATGACAATACTATTTAGCCAAATCTTAACATCAAGTTCTTCTGTGAAATAGAATTCTAGTGTCAACTTGACTTAGGTCGAAACATAAGAGCTCATTAACATAACTGTGTTGAGACACAAAGAATATATTAATTGACTTCAATTGTGCAGAATACACATGTCAAAATAAAATCTGTTGTTTACAGACACAAAAAAACATACTATCATTATCGACTACATATATTGTCTTTGTGTTTATGCGATCATCTACTTAAATATTTTGTCATATATAGTCATGACAACATACGAACATAATACTAGACAATGTAAGCTATTATCATAGGAGTGTAAATAACATATCTATATATACAATCGACTCGTAACATTGTATTAGACATAAAAAGAATATATAAAGGATTATTATTTTTGATGTATTAAATTGTCGAATAAAACGATGCGTTGATAATTAAATTCTTTTGTTACAAATATATGAATTATTTATCGAATATTTTTCTCATCGAGATAATAATATAGATAGTCATAGTCAAATGGATTATGAAAGGTAATTTGTTTTATGGGTCTAAAAAACTTCATTTATAAATATAAAAATAAGTTTTTGAGAATTTCATTGTTCTTTTGCAAAAAAATGCTGCCGTATGACTGTTCTCTTTGTGTATGTTGTTCTTTAATATGAAACAAAATGAAATAATACCCGCCACCATTTAGTGTATACTTGAATGCGTATAAAAAAAATTTCTTGTTTTCAGCACGTATTTTCTCCTACTTGATGGTGAGCTGAATAAGATCTCCTACGACCGGAAATAGCTCTAATTTGGTTGTTTTTTTCTTCTTCTTCTAAGAAAAATCTTAAAGATATCCTTTAACTTAAACTTGATATGAGAACTACTTAAAAATGTATCGATTCTTAATTAATTAATTTTTAAGCATGCTTAACATAATTGAAAGTCTTTTCTTATTAGTTTGTAACGGTCGACTTTTTTTTTTCTTTTTGAATAATGAAAAGAATCTTATGAAATTTAAAATAATGTGTCGTTTTTAATACTTATTATGATAATCTATTTTGAAACATGTTTATCGTTCTACTTAATTGTTGTTATTGAAAACTTATTATTAAAACAAGACAAAATAAAATAGAGCAGACACTGAAAACAATGCATATTATTATGTTTCTTTAAACATTCAGTTCTTGTCTTTGATGAAAACACGATAAACATGTTAAACAGCGCATATTATTTCTATAGAAGAGTTCTGCTAAATGTTTGCGTTTTCTGAAGCTATTTGATAGAATTTATCAGCACGCACCTTTTTTTCCTCCTACATTTTTTCATTAGTATTTATGAATAGGTTTTAGTGATTGTAGAGTTTATCGTCTATATAAAGAATTTTCTATTCTATATATTTCTATGTAAAAGTCTCGAAAAAAAAACTGAGAGAACATGTAGTAATCAATTGCGAATAAACAGGGAGAGAAAATTTATCGCTCTCAATTAATATATGTTTACGGTATATGAGCATCAAGTAGCTATGTCTTTCTCGTATAAATATCGAGTGACATATCTTAATTATGATCAATCATGACCCATTTATTCTTTTTTCATGTTATTTCTTCATTTTCAACATTCTTCTCGTCTTATTTTTCTTCGTCTGCCTATATATATATAAATTTAATAAGACCAACATAACAGTTTTTCTTCAGATCGTTTGTCTTATTTTTTTTTCATCTTGCTCCTTGTAACGCTTATAAGAATGTCATTAGTGATGCTGATAATGATGATCAGAT